GTTTTGCTCAAGTTAGCGTATTTCATAGTAATATAAAAATAATGATTATACTAGTCTATGGGGGAAAAAGGCTTTCACAGGACTGCCTGAGCTCAGTGCCCGGTAATTTTTTTTTCCTCATGAATTTAGGTTTTTTATAACCAATGTTGCGAAGAAGTAGGCTTTGACATACGTCAATCAAGGCGTTTCCATGGCATTACATGAGCACGTGCATTTGTATACTTTGTGTTTTCCAACACGAAGGAAAAGAAGGAAAATTTACGATTTTTAGTCGAATTATTTGGAGGGGAGGGGAAAGGCGGTCAACCCATTTACAATAGCCTTCTGTCTACCTGCGGGACATCCATAGAATTCCACTCTCATACAGATCCTTGAATACCAGCTTCTTGGTTGGATTTTGAGATAGCGAGCATAGATTGGAGGGTCGATGGTGTTACTCTTGATGGAGTATTGATCTCGATTGGCGTAAAACAACTATGAAAAGAAAAGCAAAAATTAGGTACTTTTAATTTTTAAACAACAAGTCAAAAAATGTTTGTGGTACGCTTTTTAATATCCTCGAAAAACAAGAGAAATGAAAAAAAGAGAAGAAAAGAAAGGGAATAAAATAAAAAAAGGAAGAAAAAAAAAAGAAAGAAGAATAAAAATTGAAAAAAATGAAAATGAAAGAAAAGAGAAATAKGAGAAAACTGAAAAAATGGGATGAAAAGTTTCCATAATATTAACCATAATTGCGATCAAGAGCGCGACCTTTCTCTAAGTCCCTCTCTTTTTCTTCTTGATTTTCCAAAAAAAAAAAAAAAAAAAAAAAAGGGGAAAAAGCGCGGGCGCCTCTTTAAGAACTTTTTAATATAATAAACCAGTAAATAGAGTCCTTTAGAGTCCTAACCTTGTCTGCATTCTTCTTGCGGTAAATTGCCCAATGTACCCCATCGACACTATAATGCAGATAATACTGTTTGACATACTGCCTGCTATTGAAACGACCTTGGGTATCGATCCTRGTCAGTCTTGTGAGCCGACGGAAATCAACCTTCAGCCATTGGTAGTAGTTGTTATGTTTGGCGCACCATGCAGCTTGACTCCTGAGACAGAACAATAAAATAAAATAAGCTTAAATGTTTGCCTGTCGACAAATTCACATCTATTAAAGATATGATAAAAACTGGGGTGATTAAGCTTTGAAACGAGGCTAAGCGTCCTGAGACAAAAAAAAAAAAATGGAAAGCAAAAGAAAGAAAAATAAAAACCGTAAGTAGCGCGACGTTTCGGTGACTAAACGGCACTATAACCAAGCGAAGTGCGAAGTCACAAAGTATTAAATAAATAGAAAACGCGAGCGTGCTCTGTGCAGTTATAAAGCACGCAGGAGTTGGCAGAACACAAGTGTTAGGAGAACGACGCATAGCGGGGTGCTTCTCGACACTTCTCGAATGTTCTGTCTTGAGATAATGACGGTCAAATGGCAGAGAATAGTCGCTTAGTGGAGGTTCTACTTTATCAGCTTTGAAAATAAAAATATTGTTCGTAATGATTTTTGTTTATGATCCTACCTTCCCTTTGGTCTGTTATGGAGTCTTCCCAAATAGGGTGCGTAATGGTTGGACCAAGTAGACGAGGCTGTCAATTGGCTGTTTCTGATGCGATTGGTTTTCATTCCAAGAGGTTTGCCACAAGGAGTATCTGACGAAGATTAATATACATAAACCATGTTAAATTACAGCTATTTCCAAACTGTTGAATACTGAATAATGCATACTGAATTTTGGCTTTGATGAAGATCATTTAAACTTGTAATGTTTCGACGTTGTCAAACGCCATCCTCGGAAAGTGAAGTACAAGTGTACACAACATATAAATAGAGCAAAATAACAAAAGAGTTGAATAATTAACATAGTATTAAGTAGATAAGGTGCGAAAGAAAAATAATTCAGTGAGTGGTACAGCCAAAGGCATTTACATACATTGATACCGAATTTTGCATTCCAATACCGAGGKGCATTGTGGGTTTCGTAAATTTGGAAAAAAAACTATATATATAGCCATTTGCTCTAATTTATGTATGCAGTATATTGTTTTGGAAGGAAAACAATGCACAAAAAACGAAATAAATTATTATTATCTATTTACTTTAGGGAATAGTACATAAGACCCAATATGCATTTCGTCCTCTGTTGTAGTTGTAAAATACTAGTTAAGTATGCAGTATTATGAATTCTTCCTTGTTCTTACTGGACTCTGACGACGACTTCCGCTCAGGTTGTCGAAATKTCAGTCACTAAAAACAGTCTTTCTCAAGACTACACTTACCTGGACGATCACCTCCACACCAAAAATGTTTGTTCAAAAGTTAAAATCTAAGTTTCAGTTTATTAGAATTTTACAACGTTTTTCTTTAAACATACCTTCACATCCAAAGAGCTCGACCCTCATTGATTTCCAATGGTAGAAAGTTATAGGATAAATACGAACGTACAGCGCGCGGAAAGGTCTTACGAACTCTTGGAAAACGATGGTGTGTCGGTCTGTATTGCCTTTGAAGATCTGTGGAGAAAGAAAGAAGTTTCAAAAACAAATATATTTGACTTGGTTGTGTTTCTTATCTAATAAACATACACAGCGAGCCATATTTWAAAAATATAACATTACTGCGAATGAGCAGTATATATATTATTTGCAGTAAAACGGCTTTTCCCCATAATGCGCATGAGCAGAATATCATTTGTAGGCAGTGATTTGCATYTATCTCGGGTTGTTTACCATTAGATTGAAAATTCCGGTAATTCCGGTTTTTCTGTAAGTGGTACAACCTTCTCCCATCGGAAAATTTATGGTAAAAGTGGAAATGCTCAATAGGTACCCCATTTGTTCYAGTAAGCCCAGAATAACCGGAGAATCGCGTACCATTTACACTTTCCACACATGCATGTATCTCTCGACCCCAGAACAGCAGGCCTAAAAGTAGAATTTCCAGTTGATATTKCAAATGGAACACAAACCTCCCAGGAATGATTCACTGGGAAAAGAGAAACAGATTTGTACCATTTGCTCATTCTGGATGAAGAGGGAATTCTGGTGGAATTTCCAATCTAATGGTAAACAACCTCGGTCAATCAAATCGACGTAAAAATATAGTTGAATAATAATCAGATATATCGAAAATTTGTTTGTTGTTCTGTGCATTACCTTAGGTGGGGGAGGTCTTTGTCCCCTGACTCGTGGCCGGTCACTGTAGGCTGTAAACTTGACCCCATCCTGGCTGTAATAAACCTTGTAGGTCTTGACCCACTGATTAGCATCGTATCGACCCTGGGTAGCGATTCCTTTGACTGTCTTGAGGTTCATCAGATTGACCTGGAAAAAAAAAGAATAACACACATTTTAAGGTATGGTTTTCTTTTCTTATTAAAATGATTTTTAACGAAAAGAAATTGATTGTCTATTAAAGAAATAAAACCTTAAGCCTTTGTAGCTCAGTGGTTAGAGCACTGGTCTTGTAAACCAGGGGTCGAGAGTTCAAGTCTCTCCAAAGGCTTTTTGATGGCAGTGAGCTCAGTTTGAATTTTGATTATGCACTTTTCGAAATCACTCGTTTTTTCTGCAATCTGATTGGCTCTGAGCAGTGCGATTTAAATCACGTATCGCTCCATTTTTGGTATCAAATCGCAATGTTTTGACGAGCCAATGAAATTGCAGAAAACATACAGTTTGACCAATCACATCACATGAGAAAAAAACCCGAAAAGTTTTTTAACAGTAATTTTGCATTAAARTTGCATTTTAAATATGCATGGTATTGTTGCAGACGATTTCAAAATGGACAATCACTTACCATTATTTGTTAAGAAACTATTTTACAAATTTGACAGAAAGAAACTATTCCTTGTTTATTACAAAATGGGTACAACTACTTGAAAATTTWAAAAGATTTAGACAAATYTATTGCTCMAGGCAGTTACCCTTAATTACCCAAYRCGTACCTGCAACCAGTTRTTAGCATTATGGTTTTTAGAAGACCAAGACCATCGRTGGTTGAGACGGCCATGAGCTGGCTGGAGGTGATGGTTGTAGTATGTAGATGCTGTCATKCGTCCATTACGAACTCGCTTGTCTTCCACTCCAAGAGGCATGAAACATCGATCTAAGAATTTATATTAAGTACTAGGTAAGACTCATCTGAATAATTGCAACCCAAACAAAAATTTGTACGTAAGACCGAGAAGCACTGGTACGAGTAAGCCTCTAGCATCATTTCGAGGCTTTCAGTAATGAATTTACGACTGATATTAAGTGCTAGGTTGGGTTCATTTACATAATTGCAACCCATGCAAACAAAAATTTAGATATAAGATCAGACCGAGAAGCACTGGTACGAGTAAGCCTCTAGCATCATTTCGAGGCTTTCAATAATGAATTTACGATTCATATCAAATGCTAGGTTGGATTCATTTACATAATTGCAACCCATGCAAACGAAAATTTAGATATATGATGAGACCGAGAAGGACTGGTACGAGTGAGTCTCCAGCATTATGTCGAGGCTATTTTATGAAAATATTATTATTAAAGTTATTAACTAAATAGTATTGACGCAAAATTTTGTAATATGGTAAAAACGTCTTGTATGATATAGTCTGTCGTATAGCTGTTTATGCATTTTGKGATCATATCTTTGAACCTTACAAGAAGTCTTGTCACCGACTAAAGACGACACCGACAAGTGAAAGTGAAATCAGAATCAGCTTATCGAGATATTCTTAAACCAATAGAATAGGTTAACATTTGAAAATTTGTCATCAACTAAAAGTGAAATCAGAGTCAGCTAATAGAGAGATCATTGAACTATTACATTAGGATAATTTTGATTAATTTCGTTATATAGGTCATTTCATGTGTTGCCTTTGTAGCTCAGTGGTTAGAGCACTGGTCTAGTAAACCAGGGGTCGAGAGTTCGAGTCTCTCCAAAGGCTAGTTGACACAACTGTATTTTTTTCTTTACTGTGTAAAAAAATTGTTTTACATTTTAACCGAAAAAAAAATMTAGCTCGATTTAATTTTTATTTTGACATTCTAAAATTGATCTAGTTTCTGAACAGTAACCAAGATTTTCATTATTTGATTATTGTCTTACCTTCTGCGCAGCCGTAGAATTCGACTCGCATCGAGATATGACTGTACCAGTTGTATGGGTGAACCCGAATAACACGAGCTCTTATGCGTGGGAACAGGTTGTGGATGACCAGAGAATTCTGGTCTCTGTTTCCTGTGAAATACTAAAAACAGAGAAAAAGGCTTGAGGATATATGAGTACGTAATAAGCCCTTCTGAGGTTGAAGTAAAAAAGGGTCGCGTTGGCATTGCAATGCATTGTTGGACTATTTTAGGGTATGAAATGGACCCCATCTTGGAAATATTTCCCCTAAAACCGTCCCAACATGCACTGCAATTCCAATTCCAGCCAGTTTTTTTTTCTCGACATTGAAATGGCTTAACATATGTTCTTATTTCTACAGTTAACATGGTGGTGCGATGCAAAATCTTGCTGTTGAGACCTATCAAAAATCAATCAAAAAAAGATTCAAATGCTTCCAAGAGACACGGCACTGTTCAAATGTTATCGCAACCCACCTTTTTAGCGTATGATTTCACTTTGTAATCGACAAACACAGCGCCATCTTGGCTGTAAGACAGGGTGTACTGTGTGACCCATTGTCTGGCGTCCTTACGCCCTTGCGTTGCAATCTTGGTCACTCGTGTAGCGCGACCAAAATCTACTTGCAGCCATTGGTAACGGTTCTTGGTTTTGACACTCCATGAGCGAGAAGAGTGAAGGCGTGACAAGTGGGTGCCAAGATTGTTGTCCCAGACCGATGATGCTGTGATTCTGCTGTTTAAGATTCGTCTATTTTGCATTCCAAGGGGAACATTGCAACGYTTGCCTAAAAAATATTAAATTTTAATTTCAATAAATAAAAACAAAGCTACTATTTTGCGGCCTTTCAAAGCATTTCGTTGCGGAATTATAGGCGAGTAAACGTGACGCAATTATTCATAATAATGTATGGAGCGGCCATCTTGGTGTTCAAGTTTGTGCACCAACATGACGGATTCAATTTCAAAGGCTTAAGATGATGGAATATAAGATATTTTTGATGATATTTCACTGAATTATACTTTCAATAGATATTCTAAACCTGTATAAGGGAAAATRTTTCAACTAGGGTAAATTGTTTTAATATTTTTATCGCTTTTTAGATATTGGCGAAGGTATAGCGTGACATAAACTCAACCTTCATAACTTCACGTGAAAAAAGATAAATATGGAATTATGAGATAAAGAATTAATTAAGAAACTACACTTTCGGTTTCGTGTTAAGTTCGACATGAAAATACCATGAAGATTTTTTTTAAAAAGGTCGAAACGAAAAAAATGACAACGCAAAAAAAAAAAAAAAAAAGAAAACGAAAGTGGGGTGCTATCTGTTGTTTATCTGTTGTGGCTTTTCAAAGCATTTGGATAGACAGGAAATAGACAGGGAATAGACAGGTATCGGTTACACTTTGGCGGGTTATTAGTGGAAAAAAAGCATTTGTAACTAAGGTCTATCTTTATTCAAGTATCTTTTTAGAAACTATAAATTTCAGGTCACCCATTCAAGTACTAATCTCCCTAAAACGTGCTTGACTCAGTTTCTTGAAAGCCCAAGTTTTTTCCACTGGGCCACGATTTCAGGAAATTAGCACAACAATAGTCATGAAAACAGTGCACCAGATAGACTAGATTATTTTCTACTTCAAATCAACGTGCCAGTGCGTGGCAGAGTGCAAGGGATTAGCTGTAGGTATGGTCTGGGGGCCGGCTAGTCTCTCCCCTGATGTTTAGGCTAGAACACTATCCTGCGTAATCCGTACACCCAAGGGCAGAGGGATTTAATCGCCGTCATGTCCGAAGTCCATACGATGACCCAGCGGATGTCTCGGGGTATGGCATGAGGATGTCTCGGGGTATGGCATGAAGGCACTAGCTTTTCTCTCTTTCTGTATTTTAGAATTAATCATCTAATAGAACATAGTTCACGTGGGTTCGATTCCAACTGTATTAAGATTTTTTTCCTTCCTCTTTTTTTCTAGCCTTTGATATGTTTATTTACTTATTTATTCATTTTAAAATATTTATTTATGTTTTTATCAATTTAGTTCTATTTTTTTATGAACGAATTTAGTTCTTATTCAATCCCATAGCATTCTTTTTTAGGAAGGGTGTATACTGTTTTTACTTACATTCAGCATTAAAAGTTAAGTGATCTTCATCTGAAAAATTGAGTTGTGCTTTTCCTGGTTTAAAAAGCTTTCTAAAAGTCAGTACATTTGTATAGAATTCCGAGAACRATGTYCGAACATCTTGGTGACCGTAAAACAATGCAACACCATTYGTACCACGTGATGRCTARCGYCGAAAAKKTGAATTAAACGCATGATAGGTATTATTTTGAACACTGTTGCTGTGGGTARACTAGTATTCTATGGAAAGATTTTTCTATCAACTAACCTGTGACGCAYCCGTAGAACTCAATTCTCATTGAAATATGACCATACCACGTGACTGGATGWACCCGGAAGTAACGACCATTCAAAGGTTTCTGGAATTTGTTGGTGACGGTGATATAGAAGTCAAAGTTACCCTGGAAAACCTGTTAAAAAAATAAAAAAGTTTATCACTGGTCGTCCTCGACATTCTTAGGTACGCGCTTTTATTCATTTTTTTTGGGGGGGGGGGGGGGGGGAGGAGGGGGTGTTTTTGCGGCAATATCATGCAAGCAATTTGACTGGCATACTTTCTTTGTCGCGACCGTAAATTGCAGAATTTTTGGTGTGCTAATGATTCCTTGTAGTCGTCGAAATACAGCTCAATTTGGAAGACATAGCAATAGGTTTCCAATTCTCAGGAGAATAAATTTCTTTTGTTTTGTCCTCCAAATTGCTGCTTTGACGTCACATGCAAGGGGTCTATTAAGTAAAATAAATTACATCACCATATCTACTTATAGTAATACCTTAGTTTTTCCACGCTCTCTATAGATAGCAAACCCATATCCTTTAGTACTATAAGAAACATAGTAAGACTTGACCCACTGGGCTGAACTTCGTCTACCCTGGGTAGCAACTCGTGTAACCCTRGCAGTGGCGCCAAAATCAACCTGTAACCATTGGTTACGGTCGTTTCGTTTGGCGCACCAGGCTCCTGCAGATCGGTAACCGTTAAGTCTTCCGAAGTGTGGCGAACACGAGCCGCCGGAGAAGGATGAAGCGCTCATGAGTTGATCGGCGACCTCGCCTTCTTCGACTCCAAGGGGCATGTCACAGCGATCTGGTTAAGACAGATAGATTAGTGATGTGGAAATACAGGATTAGGAAACAATAGACCGTTTTTTTAAGGTTGCGTGCCCTTCCAATCTTGACGGGCCRGAATTCTGCAAAACRCAAATTCAGGAAAATTGAGAACCAGTTTTAGATTTAAAGAGAATAATTGAGTTGAGTTAAATTCTTATCCAAAAATCTCATAATAATATAATAATTTTTTCATTATAAATGCTTTTGTATTGTCATGGTACTTGGCTCGTCATGTTTCTTATATTTGGATGAGCGCGCAACCTTGAGAAAAAGGTTAAAAAAGATCKATGTACGCCATAACACACACTCGCATGGCATAGAACTGTTTTCTCGTGAGTAGGGAATTTTAACGTACGGTACTTATTTASAGTACATATATACGTTACGAAATGTCGTAACATTAAAATGCCTATCGTTGTGTATTTCTAATGCTGTTACTTACTCCATGGGCATCCATACACTTCAACTCTCATCGCAATGCGTGACCTCCATCCTCGGGGTTCGATACGGAGGTAGCGAGTGTAGATAGGGATATTAAAGGTGTTGGTTACCACGGAGTTGCTATCGCGGTTGGCTTGGAAGGTCTGTAGTGAAAAAAAACAAAAGTCTTATTCCTTGATCTTAACTTGCCCACCTTTTGGGTAGGCTGTTACCTATACAATACTTTATAAGCTCTTTTTCTGGCCTATTTTTGTTAAGGAAAGGAATAATAAAATACTAATAGAACGAAATAAATAAATACCCTGGTCAAAGTGAGGGAGTATGCAGGCATACGGTAAACCTCTTCTACCACCCTAATCCAGCTTCTAGAATTGATATTCTTTGATATTTTTTATTATGTATTTTTGTTCATCGATTTCATTTTGGATTTTAGTTCAATTTATTATTAAKTTTTCTAATAATTATTAATTTATCTTTCTTAAAAGGTTTACAACAATGTGAAGACCGCTGAGTCACTACTTAAAAAATATGCGTAATTAAATTATTTTTATTAATAATTTATCATTAATTATCAATTTATTCTTCTTAAAAGGTTTACAACAATGTGAACACAGCTGAGTCATTACTTTAAAAAAAATACGCGCATGCGTATCATGCGCACCACTTCTGCGCATGTGCGTTTGCCGTTTTTGAAATCCATACCCCATAGTTTAATATGATATTTCTATTTACTTACATTGACTGTGGAATACCAGTGACGCTTGACAGCAAAGTTTTCTCCGTTCAAACTGTACTTGATATAATAGGACGTTACCCACTGAGCGGCGTCCTGTCGTCCCTGCGTTGCTATCGCATTGATTTTCATTGTTCTTCTCAAGTTAATCTAAGAGTAAAAAATGTTGTTGCGGGAATCATAAATCTTCCATATCAAGATAAAGATTAATTTATGCAAAATAACCTTTTATAAGTTTGAAAAACAAAGTGCATTTTAGTCTACAATTCTCAAAAGAAAAAAATCGTGGGACAGTTGATCTCGAAGATATAAATATATGTATGCAGGCAGGCAGGCAGGCAGGTATGGTATGGTATGGTATGCACGACGCATACGTTTCCTATTATTTTAAAGCTTGGTATAATGATTTATCCACACCAACTTCAACCTAATTTATCTTTAAGGATCACGTGATCAACCTTAAAACCATGCATTATTGAGAGGGGTACAAACACCCAGCAACCAATGTTTTATTGGTATCCCCCCCTTAATTTAGCACCATATCAATTATCATGAGCGAAATGCGTTCGTTTCCAAGCTAGCCCAGAATATGCGCCGAATAGGCGCCCTCGCTCCGAATTAACGCTGCATACAATATGAAACCCAAACAAAAATTTAATTAAGTGCCGCGGCACTTAGACGAGTAAACACGCTATGTTAATCTACCTGAAGCCATTGGTTGCGGTTATTGTACTTGGCTATCCATCCACCACTGAATTTTCCAGCTTTCTTCAAGTGTAACCTGGCGAGTCTTGCTGGAGTGTTTGTGTTGTATGTTGATGAAGCTGTCAACTGACCATTGCTAATTCGGCGAGGGCTTTGAACACCAACAGCGTTGGTACAATATCGAGCTTGGCATATCAAAAATAATMAATTATTAATTTGAAATATTTGAAATTTGAGGGCCGTAAGTTAGATAATTCACTAGCTTAATAAAGTTACCTTCTTTAAATAAAGTTATTAGGCCCCGTCCACACATATCCGGAAATTTTTGTATCCGCAAATTTTTTTTGCTGATATGGGTTGCGTCCACACGTTTCCGGAAATTTTTGTATCCGTATCCGGAAATTTTCGAAAACGGTCTCCAGAGTGGAAATTTCCGAATACGCTACGAACACGGATAGGTGTGATTTTGCGCATGCTCAATAAGAAAAACCATCCGTCAAATGGACTAGGCACTTGCGTGCATCAGTGCGGATCATGAAATTTCCGGATAAGTGTGGACAGTGAAAACGATTCGAAAACGATTCGAATACGCTGCGTGTGGACGCGAACATTTTCGTATCCGCAAAAAAAAAATATAAAAATTGCGGATACGAAAATTTCCGGACACGTGTGGACGGGGCCTTAATTGATTGATTGATATATAATGATATATTATGGTAATAGAAGTAAACACGTTTATTTTGGGGATCCTATAATACTTAGTAGCAATAAATTGCAGAAAAAGCTAATATACCACGTTTTGGGAATAACCTTTGTATAACCTTTATTGACTATAGATGGAATGGCCTATAGAAGTTTTGTACCATTGAGTGCAAGCACCAATAACAATACAGCTTGGACTACCTGTGGTTGGATGTCATAACAATAAAATCTCTTTGCTCTAGAGAACTTAATTCCTTTTCATGTAAAACGATTGTATTGTTCCTGCCATCTAACACGTCTGCCGTCACGTGATGGTTGCAAAGCCTAGTAAAGTGGTTTTGCACCGCTAGTTGACGTTAGTTAGCCTTACTACATGGCAGGAAAAATACGATCGTTTTTAACGAGGATAGTAAAGTTCGCAGACCAAAGGTCCTATGTCACCAAATACGAATTTGGTCCGTATGGGGCTCGAACCCATGACCTTAGCGTTATTAGCACCACGCTCTGCCGACTGAGCTAACGGACCAACTCACAAATTAATATACTTTAGTTTTTGAACCAATTTTCTTCCATTATTATYCTATGTCACCAAAATATGAATTTGGTCCGTATGGGGCTCGAACCCATGACCTTAGCGTTATTAGCACCACGCTCTGCCAACTGAGCTAACGGACCAATCGTTGTAAAGTAACTAGCCCTAAGTTCGGTCAATTAGTTCGATTTGCCAAGTGACGCATAGTATTTGAWATTCAAAGTTTTGTCTGTGTTTTTCACAAATGGTAGAGTATTAACACGTGGATTTTGGTGCGAGAATGCTGCGTTCTAAGTTTAATAAATATTTTTCTCGTTGCCTTCGTTGTTTACTCAGAAAGGAGAAAACTACTACTTAATGCAAAAAATTCCATGTTTTTACGCCTAAAATAATACGTACAAAATTTGTTTTACAGCTTGCAACGCAAGCGTGATTTTTAGTGTCCTTATTAGCGATTTGTTTTGAAATTGAACTGATTGGAAGRCTGTACAAACAGCCTCCCCTCTGCAAATTGTGGGGCAATAGTGTGGCGCGCACATTTGGACAGATTTGCTTCCCTCATTACTAAAAAAAACATGAAGTTTAGTGCAAAAATGTAAAGTATATCTGGTCCRTATGGGGCTCGAACCCATGACCTTAGCGTTATTAGCACCACGCTCTGCCGACTGAGCTAACGGACCCTCTTAATCAATTATTTTTCAATATCATCGACAATCTAAAYTAATCAGCAAATAGACATCAGGTTTTAATGTGTCTGTCCTCTTATTGACGATAAATTTGTCATCATATTGTCAAGGTAGTGTCGATCCGCATACTACTTTGACGGTGTGATGACGAAGTTTATAGTCAATAAGAGAACAGACACATAAAAAAACTGATGCCTATTTGATTTTACAAAAAAACTGAGCAACTTAATTTGGACTCTACAGAGTACAATTTGGAATTTAATTGTATCCTATTGTCCCATTAGAATCGAGTAATTTTGTTGGATGTATTATAACAAAAAAATGGAATGCTGAATACTGCGTACTAAATAGTGCATTCCAAGACCAAAGGGCATTTGTGTTAATTTGAAATAAATATGAAGTGATAAGTAAATGAAGTAAATATACAGCGATTTGCTCTCTACATGTAGCTAGTATATTGTTTAACTATTATTATATATTTTACTTCAGTCAATATTACAAAGACCCAAAATGTATTAAAATAACACTATTTCACTAAAACATTAATGTRTTGCACAATTGTCAATCCCACRATGCACAATTGTGACGTCATCCAWAGGGAACGCTATTCTGCTCCATGTCTCTTAGGGAAGGCTCTGCTGTTTCACAAACAAACTTCAAAAGGTTTGGTATCAAAAAACTGAAAGTGTCACCAGGGAAATTAGCGTTTTTGAAACACGTTTTGGTCATTAGCAAACTTTGTTCTTTCGAAAAAATGAACTCCAAAATTTGGCCTGTCACAAACACATGGTTAACACATGAGTTAGTCCTGTGCTGTTGTTGTTGTTGTTTTTTTTTATAAGAGCTGTATACATACCTCCTCCATAGAAACAACCATACAACTCAAACCGGAAGTAAGGCCAGGAATGCCACGTGATCGGATGTACTCTGATGTAGCGTGCTCGTACAGCTGGCGAGAACCTGTATGCAACGACCGTGTAGTAGTTGTAGTTGCCTCTGAACGTCTAGATTGAAATAAAATGAAAACAGTTTTGACTATTTACAATAGCTGTCGAAATACGGTGCAATTTTTTTTCTTTTGCGCTGCTAATAATAACAGAAAGGTTATTTCATCAATAGTAATAACAAAGCGCATTCAAAAGTACATCGTCGTCATCCAGCTTACCCTTTGTCGTCCGTACTCGAGGTATGGCTTGAATCTTACGCCATCCAAACTATGCATGACCCTGGTCACGTGAGCAAAATAGAAAATGCATTAAAACTACAACGCACAACAAAGATAAGGACAGCATCACTAAAATTATATATCATGGACATTAGGCATTGCTATGAGAGCACCTCCCATCCTTAGCAATTTCCATAGTTGTTAAATCATTTCCTTTGTTCAGTGTATTACTCGGTCTTATATCTCAGATTTCAGATCTCCAACCGCCAATTAACGTAGCTGTATACCAAAAGAAAATGAACTAGTGAAGTGAGCTTGCAATGATAGATACATATGAATAATTATCCAAGGTGTTAAAAAAGGTCTCTATYATTGCAAGCTCACCGTTCGTCTCGATTCGACGCAAAGGCACGGATATATTTCAAGACGGCGTAGGGAACTGTGAATGGGACTATTATGGGCTGGTATTTAAAAGTGGCTGGTATTTAAAAGATTTTTTTGCGGAAAAAAGAATGGAGAATGCGACCAAAATTATTGAATGCGTATTTGAGATATAAAGACGTGCTCTTTGGAAAAGGTGATATTTTGATCAGCAGAAAAACTGACCTTTAGTAGCCTTTACTCCAATTCGACAAAATTTCGTCACAAGTTTCGAGCAGCAGTGTCACAAATAWAACGCTTTAACATTTTGAGTATTAAAATCAGTTAAATAAAAAAATCGTGAAAGTAGCGGGCTTGTCGTTTTTCTGCCCTGTCTTTATGACTTACCTATTTATTTGACTTACCTATAGCTTTTCACATAGTAGTTTCTAGCGTGACCACCCTGTGTTGCTATTCCGGTGATCTTAGCAGGTCGTCCCAGATCAACTACTATCCATTGGTTTCTATTTCTGTGTTTTGGACACCATCCTCCAAYACGGCCATGAATGTTTCTTTTGTTAAGCCTGGCTCTCTCTGGTCCATAATTGTAGTTGTAAGAGCTACTTGCACGAAAGTTACCAGAAGGAATGACGTTGTTCTCAAGCCCGAGAGGCATCGTACAGACATCTAGAATGAAAATAACCAAGCATTTATAGTGAGACTTCGGATGTTTTTTAAGTATTGGTGAATCATCTACGACTCAACGAAGAATCTTRTTCTCAAAAGAATATAAAGCGTGCTAAATCGTAGGTACGAAATATTGCTATATTTTTAAACCTCATAGTGTTCTTACCAGCGTTGCAGCCATAGAACTCTGCTCTCATTGCAATGTAGCTTCTCCATGCGTAAGGATGAATGCGGATGTACCGAGCACGGATTGGCGGGAAAAGGTAATGTGCATTRACGGTGTTTTGATCCTTGTTACCATAGAAATACTAACAAAGAAGAAKAATAGACGTGATCAAACGACAATGTAGTCACAGGGGTTACGTTTGTTTTTACTCCAGGTCTTGGGCCCGGTTTTACCGAAGGGTGGATAGTGAAATAGTCTTATCCATGCGCCMTGGCATCCACCTAATTGCTTACATTTGGATTCCAAGTATTCTGTTATGGATGCTCATCAACATTGAGGAAGCCCTTGTCAAAAGAGGGTTTTCGACGCATTGTTTAAAATTCTAAAAATTACATTTCACATAAAAGCACACGATTTCGGTGTTAACGATGCTCCAAAAATAGTTTCTGATTATTCGTTGTATCCCTGTTTGTTTCTCTCTTCGTGCGATTGTTTTGTTTCGTGTCGTTGGTAGTTTCGTTYTTATCCCTAACTTCCAAAATACTCAAGGTAATACAGTTTTTCCCTTAACATCGGAATGCCTGATATAGCCCACCTTTCTTGATGACTTATACTTGTATTCAGTAAAGCGCACTCCATCCTGGCTGTACGACAGGTAATACCTGGTGACCCATTGATGAGCGTTGGATCTGCCTTTTGTAGCAACTCGCACAATCTTTGATGGGCGTCCGAAATCAAATTGAAGCCATTGGTTATGATTTCGAAGACGAGCCACCCAAGAACCAACATATCTAAAAGAGGGAAAAACAATACAAATCATAAGGTAAGTTACTGGATTCAATGGGGCTTCATTTTACTAGTACTATTAGGATTCTTTGCGAATTTTACAAATTGAATTGGATTGATAGGAACTGCTAATGCGCCGCCTCTCACCAATGCGGCCTGGGTTCGAGTCCTGCTAGTCTCGGTGTCGTATGTGAGTAGAGTTAGTGTTTGTTGGTTCTCTCCTGTGCTTCGAGGGTTTTTCTCCAGGTTCTCTGGTTTTCCTCCCTCCTCAAAAATCAACTTCTAAATTCCAATTCGATCTTTGAGCTTTCACCTAGTTGGAGCCTAGCTCTGTCGTGATTGTCCCACGCTGTGATACAACACTGAGCTAAAGCTTAATAGATATTTCTTGACCTAAACGATGGCATTGCTAAATCATAGATCAAATCCTGGAACTACCTCTGGGTTGACTTAAGCCAGGGCATGGCAAACATACAGATCGAACCCTGAAATAACCTCTGGGCTGATTTAAGCCAAGCGGGCACGGCTAACTCACAGATCGATTCTTGAAACAACCTCTGGGTTGATCTAAGTCAAAGCATGGCTTACTCTCACAGATCGATTCTTGAAACAACCTCTGGG